AGATATGGAGGCATTTGAAAGAGGTGGAGCTACCGAAGGCACCCACTTTTCTGGTTTCTGTCTTGAACTACAATGGCTCCACTTTGGCACCTCTGCATTCTACTGCTAGTGGCTTCCAAGCAGGTGACCGGGCTACCTGGATAGCTCTCTACCATAACATCTCAGGTCTTGGAGTGTTCCTTCATCCTGTGGGGCTGGAGCTACTGTTGGACCATGGGGCCCTGGACCCTGCCCACTGGGTAGTCCAACAGGTCTTCTACCTTGGGCATTACTATGTGGACTTGGCCCAGTTAGAATGGGAGTTTAAAGCTGGCCTCTTAGAAGTGATTCAGGTTCCTCTACCCACACCAAATGGGGCTTCCTCCCTGAGGCCTAGAGTCACTCCAGACCCTCCTCTTCCCCCTCTTCAGTTCTCACTCCAGGGTCCCCAGTACAACATACAGGGAAACTCAGTGATATCTCCCCTCTGGACATTTACCTTTGGTCATGGGGTGTTCACTGGCTTAAGAATTTTTGATATTCGGTTCAAGGGTGAGCGTGTGGCTTATGAAGTCAGTGTCCAGGAGTGTCTGACAGTTTATGGTGCTGATTCCCCCAAAACAATGACGATCCGATACTTGGACAGCAGCTATGGGCTTGGTCAAAACAGCCGAGCCTTGGTTCGGGGGGTAGATTGCCCCTATCAAGCCACAATGGTGGACATCCATGTACTGGTGGGCACTGGATCAGTCCGGCTGCTCCCAGGGGCTGTGTGTGTATTTGAGGAGGCCCAGGGACTACCCCTTCGAAGACATCACAATGGCATTGGGAGTCATTTCTATGGTGGTTTGGCCAGCTCAAGCCTTGTGGTCAGGTCGGTGTCATCAGTGGGCAACTATGATTACATTTGGGACTTTATGCTACACCCAAATGGGGCACTTGAAGCGCGTGTCCATGCCACAGGCTATATCAACACAGCTTTCCTGAGTGGAGGAGCTGAAAGTCTCCTCTTTGGGAACCGTGTGGGAGAAAGAGTGCTGGGAGCGGTGCATACACACGCTTTCCACTTCAAACTGGACCTTGATGTGGCAGGTGAGTTCTTAGGTTGAGGCTTGAAGGTTGGGAATAGGGCACAGGGCAGGAAGCCCCCAAATCAAGGAGTGATCTCTGAAAGGTTCAGAGACGTATTCTAACCCCTCTGGGTATGGGAAGGGAGGAAGAATTGTCGAGTGCAGCTGCAGTCACAACTGGGTGTCTGGCCAAAGGTGAAAGGGGTTCTCTTGCCTATTCCTACCCGCTGACTCCCTCTCCCCAGATTTGCAATTGTAAAGCTAGTTTAAGTAAAATGGCTGTGCCTGGCTGCCTTAGCCTTGAGGGACCCTCTGGGGAAATGGATTGACCCTGTGAGAACTGAATGGAGATGGGGCACTTGTTACTTGAGATTAGGGTGGGTGGAGAAGGCAGGGAACTGAGCAGAGGGAACCAGAAGTCTGGCTGAAGAGCCATCAGTAGGGGAGGGAAGGTATCAGGCTGGAGCGTCTGTAGTTAGTGCTGCCTTAGCAGTGTGGGGGAAGCCACCCACGCTTTCATCATGATGAATTGTCGACTGTTATGGCAAGCCTGGGATAGGCTAGCTGCAGGTATGGAGGACAAAAAACAAGCAGACAAGGACCCAGAAAGAAACAAAATCCAGCAGACCTCCATTTTACACTTGGGGAAACTAAGGAAGGCAGGGAAAATGGGGCAGGAAGTGGCTGCCCAAGTGCAATGTCTAAGTGTGTCTGGTGAAATTCTGTCTTGAGTGTGAAGTCCTGGCATGTGCACGTTACACACTGTACTTGTGTTTTGGGTGGGGGCAGAGGTAGGAGAAGTAAGACCAACGTGATGACAATAGTCTAGTCTGACCTGTGCACTGTGAATCTCCAATTGGAAATTCTCTTTAACATCTCTGGGCATTGAGCCAGCTACCAGTTACTAGATTTATAGCGAGTGCACCACGGTCACATTTAAGGGACCCAAATGTCCTGACTCTCAAGAAAGTGATCAAGTACTGTTGTTGGTTGATGCAGGGTTTGGGTGCAGTGGAATTTAAGAAGCAAGTCTTGGGTGGTGGAAAGCTATGAGTCATGCTTTTGAAAGAGACTGGGACTAGTGTCCCCTGTGCTGAGAGTGCTGGAGTCCTAGAGTTGAGAGGAGTCTACAGGGACTGTGGGAGGGGCTTGAGTTTCCAGGTCAGGTCAAGACAAGTCTCTCAGAGTGTTTAGCCTGTGTGCTTCCATGTATTGAGCAGAGCCATAAAACAGCATTAGATTTGCTATGGAGATTTAGAAAGTGGGAATCAGATGTTCTAAGGCCTACTGAGTAGACTGATGCTAATAGAGCCTTCGGTGAGGGCAGAAACATTTTGTGTTTAGCTATATGTGGCCAAGCAGTTTGCTTGCTTGCTTATTTATGCTTATTCATTTATTTATTTAAGGCTGGAACATTTTATATCTTGTCATGTGGCTGCGAAGCAGTTTGTTTGCTTTTTATCTGTTTGTTTGAGACCGGGTTTCACTGTATAGTAGAGTCTTTGGACTCCATTTTATTTATTTACCTGTTTATTTATTTTAAGACAGTCTCCCTGTGTAGGCCTGATTACTTTGGAGCTCTCTATGTAGATCAGTCTGGCTTTGACTTTGCAGTCATCTCCTGCCCCTGCCTCCCAAGTGCTGGATTGCAGGTATGTACGATTATGCCTAGGAATACTGAGCTCTTTAAATATAGCTACTGTGATTGGAGAACCACATTTTTAATATTCATAGCCATACATGACTGATGGTTATCCTATTGAAATATAATAGATTAGAAAAAGCCAGGCTAGCACTTGCCCAGGCTCATGCCTCCTAGCACAGGCTGTTCTCTGATGTCTTTGGCCAGGCCAGTGCTATAGGCACCCAAGGATCCTGTCTAAGCAACCTCATCTGGTGCAGAACTCTCCCTTTCTTAATCTGACAGGTTTGAAAAACTGGGTGGTAGCTGAAGATACAGTCTTTAAGCCTGTAGCAGCCCCCTGGAACCCAGAGCTTCAGCTACAGCGTCCACAGCTGACCAGGCAGGTCCTCAGCAGGGAAGACGTGGCTGCGTTTCCCTGGGGGAGCCCTCTTCCTCGATACCTTTACCTGGCTACCAACCAGACCAATGCCTGCGGTCACCAGCGTGGGTACCAAATCCAGATCCACAGCCCTCCTGGTCTGCATGTACCTTTGGAGAGCGACATGGAGAGGGCTCTCAGCTGGGGGAGGTGAGGAGGGCCCTGGAGATGGGGGTGAAGTAAGACCTGTCCCCCTCAGCACTCAAGTAGATGACGGGATGGGGAATGGTATCAGTCTGATCCCAGGGATTGCAGGTCTGTAAAGCTCTTCGATTTTTTTCCAACACTGCCTTTCTATAATTCCTGGCCAGATACCAGCTTGTGGTGACCCAGAGGAAGGAGGCAGAGTCCCACAGCAGTAGCATCTATTACCAGAACGACATGCGGACCCCCACTGTGGTCTTTGCTGACTTCATCAACAATGAAACCCTCTTAGGAGAGGTTGGTGGGTTTAGAGATAACGGAGAAAGCCTTCTCTTTTCCTGGTGTCTTGGCTGTCCAGCCTCTGTCCTATACAGGTTGTCCCTACAAGGGGGAAATGAGTCACAGCAGTGGCACCCTGCCCAGCCTAATGACCTACACAGGTTATTAGGTATTTGGTGTAGGACTGTGGCTGGCAGATCAGAAGCCAGGCTGAGGCTGAAGGTTGAGAAATTGCAGCTAAGAGGTTCTTTGCCTCTGAAGGCCTCCATCTCTTCTCTCCTCCTACAGGATCTGGTGGCTTGGGTGACAGCCAGTTTCCTGCACATCCCTCATGCTGAGGACATACCCAACACAGTGACAGTGGGAAACAGAATGGGCTTCTTGCTTCGACCCTACAATTTCTTCAATGAAGATCCCTCTATCTTCTCCCCTGGCAGCGTATACTTCGAGAGGGACCAGGATGCGGGGCTCTGCAGCATCAACCCTGTGGCTTGCACCCAGCAGCTGGCAGACTGTCTCCCCAACTTGCCCTCCTTTTCCTATGAAGGCTTATAGGCATGAGGCTGTGGTGAGACCCCAGGATAGGAGGATGAGATGCACACACTCCTCTGTTCTGTCTCTGTGTTTTTATCACCTGTCTCCCCACCACCACCCCCGTTCCTATCCTCTGTTCCTTGGAAAGCAGTCTTTCTGCACTAAAGTCCTGGGTATCCCCCTGTGGGTTGATTCTTGCTTCCTGCCTGTCTTTTGTGTTTCTGTTTGAGACAGGGTCTTTCTGTGTGGCTCTGGCTGTCCTGGAACTTGCTGTGAGGACAAGACTGACTTCAACTCACAGAGATCCACCTGCCTCTGCCTCCGGACTACTGGGATTAAAGATACACACCACTACCCCTGGCTTCTGCTAGTTATTGAAATGATAATTTATAAAGAATGTTTCGGAATACTCAAGTACCACAAGTTCTGTCATTTCAAAACTCACTGGTGTCCACAACATCATACTAGGCTTCTTACGTGTATCTAAAAGGGATGGTTGTTATGTATAATTGATAATAAAATGGTTTGCAAAATTTTTACTTGAGTTTATTCTGTTTGGCTTTTTAAAGCATGTAGAGTTCTATTCCAGGAGAATATTAAGGACTCTGGCCAAGAAAATTAGTAACAGTAAGAGACACAGGGCGGCTGTGGGGAGGGCAGACAGACCTGGCCAAGGAACGTTTCTTGGAAAAGAGGCTGGAAGTGGGGGTTTCCTTGGCAGGACAATACTTCACGGTGAATGTAAAGAAAACATCTGGCCTTCAAAAGGCGGGAGTTAGGGAAGAAGTTAGTCTGAGGACACAGAGCTATGGGGCAGTCCCGACTACTTTCTGGCAGTGGATTCCCATACACAGACTGGATTTCCTCCCCCTTCCCTCAACCCCAGCTCTCCCCAAGCCCAACCCTGACCCAGAGAGCACTCTGATTTGGAAGCTGGAGGACAAAGCCATGTAAGGTCTGTGGCTATCACTGCAGCCAGCTCAGACCCGCCTCCCAACCCTGGCTCCAGCCTCCCTGTTCCTTCCCATGCTGGCAAAAACATCAGACTCCACAGAAGCTCTGCTATTGCCTAGCGCCTGGGAGACCCCGGCCAAAAGGAGTCCATTTCTGGTAGAAGCCTGTCCGTCTTCAAGGAACAATGACCCAGAAGACCACCATAGTGCTTCTTGTTCTGGCTGTCATCACCATCTTTGCTTTGGTTTGTGTCTTGCTAGCTGGCAGGAGTGGAGATGGGGGCAGACTGGGTCAACCTCTTCATTGCCCCTCCGTCCTTCCTAGTATCCAGCCCTGGACACACCCTGGCCAGAGCCAGGTGTTTGCAGACCTGAGCCTTGAAGAGCTGACAGCTGTGATGAGGTTTCTGACCAAACGCCTGGGGCCAGGGCTGGTGGATGCAGCCCAGGCTCGACCCTCGGACAACTGTGTCTTCTCAGTAGAATTGCAGCTGCCTGCCAAGGCTGCAGCCCTGGCCCACCTGGACAGAGGGGGCCCCCCACCTGTGCGGGAGGCACTGGCCATCATCTTCTTTGGTGGACAACCCAAGCCCAATGTGAGTGAGCTGGTGGTGGGGCCCCTGCCTCACCCCTCCTACATGCGGGACGTGACTGTGGAGCGCCATGGTGGGCCCCTGCCCTATTACCGGCGTCCTGTGTTGGCCAGAGAGTATCAGGATATTGAGGAGATGATCTTCCACAGAGAGCTACCCCGAGCTTCAGGACTCCTCCATCACTGTTGCTTCTATAAACACCAGGGAAACAGCATGCTAAAAATGACTACAGCCCCCCGTGGTTTGCAATCAGGAGATCGGGCCACCTGGTTTGGCTTGTATTACAACCTCTCAGGGGCTGGGTTTTACCCTCACCCCATTGGGTTGGAGCTTCTGATAGATCACAAGGCCCTGGATCCTGCCCTGTGGACCATCCAGAAGGTATTCTATCAAGGCCGTTACTATGAGAGTCTGACTCAGCTGGAGGACCTGTTTGAGGCTGGCCGGGTGAATGTGGTACTGATCCCAAACAATGGCACAGATGGGTCCTGGTCTCTAAAGTCCTCAGTGCCACCAGGCCAAGCTCCCCCTCTGCAGTTCCATCCTCAGGGACCCCGATTCAGTGTCCAGGGGAGTCAAGTGACTTCCTCCTTGTGGGCTTTTTCTTTCGGCCTTGGAGCTTTCAGTGGCCCAAGGATCTTTGATATCCGCTTTCAAGGGGAAAGGGTGGCCTATGAAATTAGCGTTCAGGAGGCCATAGCCCTGTATGGTGGAAATTCCCCAGCATCAATGTCGACCTGCTATATGGATGGTAGCTTTGGCATTGGCAAATACTCTACCCCCCTGACCCGTGGGGTAGACTGTCCCTACCTTGCCACCTATGTGGACTGGCACTTCCTTCAGGAATCTCAGGCCCCCAAGACTCTCCGAGATGCGTTTTGTGTGTTTGAACAGAACCAAGGTCTCCCGCTCCGAAGGCACCACTCAGATTTCTACTCCCGCTATTTTGGGGGCGTTGTGGAGACAGTGCTTGTGGTCAGATCCGTGGCTACCTTGCTCAATTATGACTATGTGTGGGATATGATCTTCCACCCCAATGGAGCCATAGAAGTCAAAGTCCATGCCACAGGCTATATCAGCTCAGCTTTCTTCTTCGGTGCTGGTGAGAAATTTGGGAACCGAGTTGCAGAACACACACTAGGTACGGTGCACATTCACAGCGCTCACTTCAAAGTGGACCTGGATGTGGCAGGTAAGACATCATGGAGGTTACTCACAAAAGATTAGGGGGTTTATGCTTTCCTTCAGTCTGGCTGGGAGAGACGGGGCTGTTGAGTTTCATTTGGATCTTAGCTTCCTGCAAAGCTGCCAGATTCTATACATGTGACCTCCTTACAACTTCTTAGGAAATGGCTAACCCCAGGGAGAAAGCAAGGTCTGGCTTCCCTTGAGTTTATGTGGGCCTCTGTTCAAGCAAGCAGTTGTTTGTTTTCCAACTCACTCTGTCCAGCCTGTGATGCAGGACTGGAAGATGTGTTTGGGTCTGCAGAATCCCTGTGCATGCAAGCAGTCTTGGAACAAGCATTGCTCTCCGTTTCCTCAGGAGAGAGGCCCTCCTCTTCCCTGATCTCTTTCCTGGCATTGTTCACTTCAGTGTGGGGGTACACTGGATACTGCGGAAGAGTGGAGAGTTCCAGATGGCTCCTGAAGTTTGTGATCACAGAGACAGCCAAGGCTCCGTGAATTTCCTGAAGATCATCTCTCTCTTTTTTCTTCCCTACATTGAGTCATCACCCTGTTGGGATTGTTTGTTTGTTTGTTTGTTTTCTGTTCTGACTATGACATCTCTCAAAACTCGCACTAGGTAGGTCACAGTGTTACCCTCTCTCCCTGTTAGGCCACATTTTTTTTTTTTTTTGATGGTTTTTGAGACAGTTTCTCTGTGTATCCCTGACCGTCCTGGAACTCACTCTAGATGAGGCTGGCCTCAAACTCACAGAGATCTATCTGCCCGCCTCTGCCTCCAAAGTTAAAGGGATGTGTGCCATCACTGCCCAGCAGCAGACCACTCTGAATGCTCTCAGTTCCAGGGTCCACTATGTACAGAGCTGTCCCACTCATGCTAGCATGCTCCACCCACATCCCACAGCTGCTGATTCCCCAACACCTGCAGGATGTCATCTACAGAAGGCCTTCCCTTCTGCCAGCTCTAGCCCATCCCGAGAGTTTCTCCAGTGCATTGCTGTAGCTGTATCAACATGCTCCCAGGTCCTGAACACATAGCCCATGGTGTCTCTGTTTTAACTCTGGCTTCACTTCTACCTAGAACGGCCTTCTAGGACTTGTCTTGATGATAGTCTTTAAGGATAGATAGAAATAGTATCCTGGGAGTTGGGGAGGTCCTGTCCCTGCCTGTGTCTATATTCCTGGAATGCTGACCCTGTCTCACCGAGGCCTCCTCACCCTGCAGGCCCAGGCTGTGCATTCTCTGATCCCTGTGAGCCTGTGAGAGTCTGAGGGGAAGGATGGAATTTATTCAGCTCTGTCCTCAGGGAAAAGGACAGGTTATTCCAAGAAAGAAAGAAAGAAAGAAAGAAAGAAAGAAAGAAAGAAAGAAAGAGAGAGAAAGAGAGAGAGAGAGAAAGAGGAGAGAGAGAAAGAAAGAGAGAGAGAAAGAGAGAAAGAAAGAGAGAGAGAAAGAGAGAAAGAGAGAAAGAAAGAAAGGAAGGAAGGAAGAAAGAAAGAAAGAAAGAAAGGAAGAAAGGAAGAAAGAAAGGAAGGAAGAAAGAGAGAAAGAAAGAAAGAACCAGGCGGTGGTGGCACACGCCTTTAATCCCAGCACTTGGGAGGCAGAGCAGGCAGATTTCTGAGTTCGAGGCCAGCCTGGTCTACAGAGTGAGTTCCAGGACAGCCAAGGCTACACAGAGAAACCCTGTCTCAAAAACAAAAAAACAAAAAACAACAAAACAAAAAACCATTTCTATTTTCATTTTTACTTGTGTGTCTGTGGGTATGTGCATATGAATTATACAGGCCACTGGAAACTAGAGCTGTTGGACCCTCCTGGAGCTTCACAAGCTCCAGCTTGTAAGTGGCCCAGCATGGGTTCTGGGAGATAATCCCCAGTCCTGTGGAAGGACAGTATACACTCTTTTTGGTTGGCTAGTTGGTTGGCTTGGTTTGTTTAACAGCCCTGGCTGTCCTGGACTCTCTTTGTAGACCAGGTTGGCCTCAAACTCACAGAGATCTGGCTGCCTCTGCCTCTCGAGTGCGGGGGTTAAAGGCGTGCACCACAACTGTCCTGCAACAGTATGACTCTTAACTGCTTTGTCTTATCTCTTGCCTCTGAATATTACAATTTATAGGTTAATAGTTTTGTCTAAAGGACTGGGGAGATCTTCAGACATGGAGGGAAGCAAAGAACACAGTCTTGGGCTACTCGTTGGTCTCCATCCTGAAGTCAAGTAGATACCAGAGTGGTCAGATGACCAGCGTTTATACACTTTACACAGGGCTGAAGAACTGGGCCTGGGCAGAGGATATGGCTTTTGTCCCCATGAATGTACCTTGGCAACCGGAATACCAGATGCAGAGGCTGCAGGTGACTCGGAAGCTGCTGGAGACAGAAGAGGAGGCTGCCTTCCCAATGGGGGGCGCCACCCCACGCTACCTGTACCTGGCCAGTAACCACAGCAACAAGTGGGGTCATAGGCGAGGCTACCGCATCCAGATACTCAGCTTTCCTGGGAAACCGTTGCCGCAGGAAAGCCCCATAGAGAAAGCCTTCAGCTGGGGAAGGTGAGTAGTGGGTGATCAGAGAGCTTGAGGGGTTGACCACAAGGTCAGAGCAGGAGCGGAGGAGGGATACTTGGAAAGGGCTGGGACTGTTTCCAATATTGCTTGTCTTTGTGGACAAGTGGGGTGTCATTTCCCCTTGGAGAACTAAAGCCAGGAAAAGAGAACTCTCTCCTGTTCAGGGGTGCGCTTGTGGTTTGTGCCGTGAAATGGCAGGGGTGTGACATGGCCCTCCAGGAATTCTCCAGCCTGGTGTTGCTCTGTGAGGAACTATGAAAGCTGATGTCAGAGCATTGCGCCTGCTTCCATCATGGACAGGCATGATGGCCTTAGAGACAATGAAGACCTAACCAGCGCTCTTCTAGGTATCACTTGGCTGTGACCCAGAGGAAGGAGGAGGAGCCTAGCAGCTCGAGCATCTTCAACCAGAATGACCCGTGGACGCCCACTGTGGACTTCACCGACTTCATCAGCAATGAGACCATTGCTGGAGAGGTGAGCTGATGGTGGGATGAACAGAGAGCATACCAGGATGAGCGTCACTGTGTCACGGGTGGGTCCCTGAAAGCCATCGGAGCTCCACAGAGGCGGAGCTGACTCTTTTGCCTTTCGCACTCTAGCAGATGTGACCATTCCCTTTAGAGTAGTGGTTCTCAACCTTTGTAACGCTGCCACCCTTTAATTCAGTTCCTCACGTTGGACCGACCCCCCGAACCATAAATCTCCTAAATTATTTTGTTGCTACTTCATAAGTGTAATTTTGCTACTGTTATGAATTATAGTGTAAATATCTGATAGGCAGGATATCTAACATGCCACCCTGTGGAGGTCAAGAACCTCAGGTTGGGAACCAATGTTCTAGATAGACTGACTCTTCTAGAGCAAAGAAGTCACCTGCAAAGAACTGCGTCCTTAAGACCTACAACCCTCTGGCGGGTGGTGGTGGCACACGCCTTTAATCCCAGCACTTGGGAGGCAGAGGCAGGTGGATTTCTGAGTTTGAGGCCAGCCTGGTCTACAGAGTGAGTTCCAGGACAGCCAGGGCTATACAGAGAAACCCTGTCTCAAAAAACAAACAAACAAAAAAAAAAACAGGTCCTTCCGTCCACTCACCTCTGCCCGAGTGCTCCCCCACTGCACGCAATGACACCTTTCTCACCCAGTAAAATTCAACTCAAACATTGATCGCTGATTCCTGCCTCTGTCTGTCTGAAATGTTCTGATGGAGGTTCATATGCTGAATTGCCTACCTGTGTCCCCTGCTTACAAAGCATGGAACTAGAGTTCCTTGGAATGGGGAAATGCTTGCTCTGCAGGCATATGTAGGGGTGATATCTAGCAAAGCCTCGGCATGGGCCAGCTATCTAATCAGTAGGGTGGCTCTGCTTAGCTCTGGCCGCCATGTTCTTCACTAGAAGCAGCCAGAGGCCAGGTGTGCCACAACTAGACCCACGAGATGCCAGCGTGGGGGATGGCTCTGCCAATCCTCCATGCTGCATCCACAAAGCTGATTTCGACAAATCTGCTCATAAGTCTTTCCTAAAAGCAAATAATCCCTATATTGTAAACTCACAGTTAAATCAGTATTTGCCCCATGACTGAGGCTTTTTCATTTGGCTCTCTGACTAGAGCAGACTGCAATTTCTCCCAGCAGGGAACCTGCCCGAAAGCAGTTTCTTTGTTCAAAGTTCCCTGGTTGGAGTCACCTGACTCTCTCAGTGCTACTCACACACTCATTTTTAAAAAAAATAAAAAATACAACTTTAATTCTCAGATGAATAGTCTTAAATTTCTAGTGAATTCGTGCCTGAAGTTGGTGGACCACTTCTAGGGGTGATATATTTAGAAAATGGCGCCTGGTCTGGCTTGTTCCTGGGCAACCACCATGTTCCCGCTGCTCCTCGCTCTGACTGGGGCTCCAGCTAGCTAGATGCCCAGGCACCCACCAGATACCAGCATGGGGGATGGCTCTGCCAATCCCCCACGCTGCATCCACAA